GCGAGCCTGTTATATACAACAAAACACTCGCACACTCCTAAAAGTTAGGTTTGAACCCTTGACCTCCAGGGAGGTTCGGGTCTACCTGTAACCCCAGTAACTGAATTCGTATGCCTGTGACTACTTAAAAGTGAGAACGAAGCTACTTCGGTTGATATAAAATGCGAGCCTGTTATGGCAAAGTGTGTCAAATTGTAACAAAGTTCGGTTTGTTTTCTATTTAGTGTAACGGGGAACCTTTTTTTCTCAATCAATACAACAAAGCTTCAAAATTTTCTATTTTATATCCATTTTGACCTGTAATCTGCTGATCTTGTTGCATCCGAAATCGTGGATACCTGTCTATAGAAGGGTTATGGCAATGGGACGATAAACTTGACATCCATGTTCTCAAATGTTACAAGATATCAGGTTAGTGGTTAAAATGGGTGGTATGAAATAGGAAAATTTTGAAACTCTATTACATTGATTTGAGTGGAAAAAATTATTTGTTACACAAAATAGGAAACCAAAGGAAACTTGCATTTTTCCCCTTTAAACTTGTAAACTTTTTTCATTTACTTGCATACTGGATTAATTGAAAGAAGATGATAGGTTGAGTAGCTTTTTTAAGACTAATCTGTTGCGACTTTGGAGAGTTTTGCCAATTAATGCCTTACTTTGTTAAGAAATTGGAGATCAAGTATACTAAATATCACAGAACTACACATGATTCAATTGACATCCTGCATGCGATTAATCGGTTGCTTGTTTGACTAAATTTATTGGTCTCATGATAAGTACGCTTACCTGACATTGATTTCAATGAGTAGAGCGTTTGTTTCTGTGAATACCTCTATCTCCCTAATTTTTGTTCCACCTATTTTATTGGACAAAAAAACTCATTCTTGTCCTACTTAAGTTCCGTCTTTCCTAGGCCACACGTTTTTTATTTTGTCTTATCCAATCATCAAACGCACCCTTAATGCTTATTAAGGACATGTATGCTGTAAAATACGAGTGGCTTTTATTTATTGATGGTGGTTGTTATGCAGGATTTGCTAAGAAATAAGAGACACAGGGCGCAGGTGGGATTTCCGTTGCTGTTTGTTTTTATGGTGGGGCTTGTGAGCCTCTATCTCGGATACTTGTTGCACTGCTGACCAACAAAAGCCGTCTTATGTTTATAAAAGCTAAGTTGTGCCTGGTTTTAAGTGTCTATATGTGCAAGTTCTTAATAAAGTAGTACCCACCTACCATATGCTCTTCTTCTGCTTTGTGTCCATATAGTTTGTTAACCAGCAACAATGGAGCGACCACAACGTTACTCCTTCGTGCACGGGGATGAATAGTCTTGGTGCCAAACGGTCGATCGTTCTTTCGCTGCGTTAGGAATATTGCTATCCGAATTGTATGATAATTGTAGGAAGAAATGATGGTATAGAAATTAGAGATGGTATCAGATGGTGTTTCTGCTTTTGGATTAGTCCCAAGTCGTGGAGAGACGAGTTGTTTTAATCGTTTACCGTTTGGCTGGTTTTTTTTCTCATTTTGTGGTTCCTATTTATATCACTTCTTTGTGAACCGATTTCCCGCATCTGATTCCGTTCTTAGTCACTGATCGACTCGACTGAAAATGGTCATTCATAAGCTATGTTTTTCCATGTTTTTTTTTTTGTTGTAAAACGCTGAACATCAACGATTATAGGTGGGCAAACCTATTAATTGCTCGTCCCGACCTCCAACATGATTGGACCGGTCCTTATGTAATTGGTCCATCCGTTTGCCGGTAGATCAAAAGTTTGTAAAGTTGCTTGATGTCTTTTTAACTAAATTAGTTTTTGGTATCGCGTGTGTTGTCCGTCGATGACGTTTTATATGTTTGAACTGATTATTTTTATAAATCTGATTATCTTGCAAGTTAGTATTGACAATGATACAATTAGGTGCATGCAAAAGTAGTCTTCTTTATGTATCTATCAATTCTCGTGAGAAGCGTAATTCATGAGGTGAAAGGTGAGATTAAAAGTAATCAAGGGTACAAATTCCTCTTCATTCTCATCTTAATTCCTATTATCACACGATCCTTCGTTTATATAGATTGACGAAGGGTCATAAGAGTTAAAGTGAGAAGTGTAAGAAAAGATTTGGACTCATGCTAACTTTTAATCCCAAAACAAACCATGAGTTAGCTTGAGAAAGGAATTTATGTAGTGGTTCTTATTAGTGTTAATTTAGGGGATATCTTCAATTAGGATTGATCAAAAGAGGATGAAAATTCATTTTTACCCTTCTCATTCTCACTACAAGCCAACCCTAATATATATGTATATATATACTAGAGGACCATTCAAGGAAGAATTAGTTAGTTTGTGGTAACTGTGAGATCCAATCTCAACCACAAATCAATAGATAAATTAGGAAACTAATAATTTTGGTAATTTGACTTAAAAATTCAATTAAAGGGCAGTTTAGGTATTTCTAAAATCTCCTCTCTTTGGTGAACCTTATTCATCTGTTAGGACTGAAAATCAGTGTTATATTGTATTCGACTTGAAAGGTTACTATTGTCTATAATTGTATAAAAAGTCATCGTGTTTGACTTTTCTAGAAATAGTTTGACTTTGACTTAGCTTACATGTTTGACCCTATAAAAAGAGTAAGTCTTTATAATTTTAGTAGGAGACTTAATTGTAAAATCATAGTATGTAATAAGAAGGTTTGACCAGATTATGAAGATTTGACTTTTCCTCTCATCTCTCTCATTGTGTTCTTGAATGCTATATCAAAATTCTGCCATGGATTCGTATTAGAAGATTGAAGATTGATTATTGTGAAACAACAATTGGTATCAGAGAACAGGAAATGCAAAGAAGTCATTAGAAGAAATCAGAAATTTGAAGATTTTTGGAAGAATATTTTTCTGGAATTTATGTGTTCTTCATCCATGTTCTTCATGTTCTTAATATTTTTTTTAGTTTGATCTGAAAATCTTTCTAAATCTTCTGTTTGTGTGTTAAAATTTTGATCATCTTGTACGTAATTGATTTTTGAATATCTGTTGTTCACAAATTTTCAGATTTTAATCATTCTTTTAAGATATTTGTTTATTTTATGTGTTTTTGAAGTTATTCGTGTTCTTAATAAATTTCATCAAAAAGGTCAATTTTGATTCGTTTTTGTATGAATTTTTGAAGTTTTTGTGTTTGTGTCATAGTTTGATCAAATTTCATCTTTTAAATCTTTCAAAATTTTGTTTTTGGCTTGTGATCGGATTTAAGACTTAGATAATATCGCTTGTCCAAATTCTAAATTGCTCAAAGTCTTGGAATAGGTAGCCAGATTATTCTTAAATCGCTTAATGTTGGTTTGACCGTATTCACTAAATCGTGCTCAAAGAGACCAAGTAAATCGCTCAAGGGTATCCGGTTTAGGTAGTTCATCGTTTGAGGCTTAATCGGATTTCTCATAACTCGCACAAGGCTTATCCGGATATAGCATAAATCGCTTAGTTCATCGCCTGGCCGGATAAGGTTGTTAATCGCACAAGCCTTGACCGGACTTAGCCTAAACTGTTTGACTTCTTGAGCGAGCTTAGCTAAATCGCTTGGCATTGTGAGGTTCAAATCGCTCAAACAAGTCATCCGTATTAGCCTTATATCACAACCATCCAGTCGATTTATTGTCTACCTCGCACAAGTCTTGACCGGAGATTACATATCCGCTCGATTCATTGAGCGATCTTAATCTAATCCGCAGGACAGCTTGACCAGATTTCCTTAAATCGCTTGGCTCGGTGAGCTGTTTGGATTAAATCGTTGGTCATAGTAACCGGATTTTGTCTAAGTCGCTTGCAGCTATAACCGGATTAGGACTTAACTTATTTTGTGGTTTCTAAATCGTTGGATATAGTGAGCGAGATTAGTTAAACCGCCTGTTACAATGATCGGATTTGGTAATAGTTTGGCTTGGCGACTGGACTTGGTTTTATCATTTGGTTGATCATCCGACTTAGGCTTAGTCGCATCACTCTTTGTTCGGATTAGGGGTTCTTTGGACAACAAGCATACCCGGATTTGACTCTCGGATAAAAGACTTGGTCATTTTCTTATCATTTCATCCGAACTTGTTAAGTTTTTTTTAAGGTTTTTCAGTGTTTTACTGATTTACTTCTTTTATCTGTTTCTTTTGCTTTTGAACTGTTTAAGATTTCTTGAACTGTTTTCCGTCACGTAAATTGTTTTTCATCAGTTTTAACTGTTTTGACTGTTTTTAACAGTTTTTAATTGTTTTTAACAGTTTTTAACTGTTTTCAACAGTTTTGACTGTTTTTACTGATTTTGTATAGTTTTCGCTGTTTTTCTGATTTCTCATCAGATTTTGTGTTTTCTGTTTTTGTTTTTGAGCGTAATTGTTCTTGATTTCTTTTAATTGATTTCACAGCATTTGATCCGTTATTCAATCTGCTTCTGAAAATGGCAGTTTCATTGGAGAAAGAGAATTTGGAATTGAGAAATAAAATTTATGAGTTGGAAATCAGTGTAAAGGACTACATTGATAATACTTTAATATTTTTGATGAGAATTTTGCAGATAAGGAATTTATCAAGGATCTGCAAAGTGAAAATAAAATCTTGAGAGAAAATTCTTAAAAGGATTTATTAGTTAAGGCTAGTGAATTTGAGAGAACTTTGGACAAAGCAAGGAAAGAGTGTGAAGAAGAATTGAAGACTTGGAGTAATGCTAATAAGGATTGTTCAATAAACTTCAAGATCTGCAAACTGAGATGAATTCTTCTGAGAAAGATAATACAGATACTGAGGACTTAACTGGAAAACTTCATAAATCTGAGAGTGATTTGTGTGAGTTAAGGAGTGAATTTGAAAAGGAGAAGAAAAGATTTTTCGAAATGAAGAAAAGATTTGGTGCTGAACGAATATCTTATGAAGATAAGATAAACTCTCTCGAGTTGAATGCCAAAATACTGTTAAAGCAAATCTCAGATTTTGAGCAGCTGATAATCTTGGAACRAGCCAAGAATGATAAAGAGAAGAAAGACATTACAGAAGAATGTATGAGCCAGACACAGAAATTGTCTGACAGCATTGCTCTAAAGCAGAAGGCTTTAGATGAAGAGAAGAAGCAATTTGTGCTTGAAAAGAGAAATACCACAAAGAAATATGTAGCTATTGCTAAAGAGCTTGCTGAAAAAAGAAGTGGTTCGACATCACTTCTGAGAATGAGAAAAGCAGTTCAGAAGAAGAGAGAAGAGAGTTCAATAATCAGAAGAAAAAGTTTGAAATGCTTAAAAAGGAGTTAGAAGGAAAACTCCTGGATACTTCAAGGAAATTGTCTAATCTGAAGACAGAACTTGAAACTGAGTTGAAGATGAGAACTGAACTAAAAAATAAGTATGATTTAGTTACTGTGGAAAGAGACCAGCTTTTACAGAAAGTCAAAGACTTTTCTTGTGCTCAAAGCTCAACTGTTTCTCCTTCACAATGTAAAACCAGCTTCTATGACTGTTCCAAATCGAACAGTTATTGAAGCATCCCTAAATCAACTATTTCTAAGAACTATTCTCGTTCTTCTAATCAGTACTATCAAGGGTACGTCATCAGATCACCCGATTACTCTTCTAAGGTTAAAAGCATTTGGGTCAATAAATCTGAATTTGTTTCATCCTGTACCCCTGTTGTTACTAATAATCTTCCTTGTCTTGTGAGATCTACTACTGATTTGATTCATCTTAGCAAGAGAAGAATCATGTGCTCCACATGCAAGACAACCAATTTTGTCAACAGGAAACAGTACAACAGATGGACTGATGATAACAGATATCAGAAGTTTTGGAGAGGTAAGAACAAGTATGATTACAATAATTGGTATGGAACTTATTTTGCATATAATCATCTTGTTAAAAGCGCGAAAAAGAACATATCTAATAAAAATAGATGGTTTGGAAGTTACAACATCCCGCAACCTGATACTAACAAAGAAGGACCGAAGTTCGTTTGGGTACCAAAATCCATTTGATCTGATTTTGTAGGTGCGTCATTACTGCACTAATCAGAATATCATTCCAATGATGCACTAATTCAGGGGGAGTTGTATACTGTCCAAACAATTTGAACAACACAGTTCAGGACCTGTGCTTTAATGTTCGTGGTTTCTAAATACACAGTTTGGAACTCGTGCTAAAATGTTTCCTTTATTTTTTTTTAATTTTGAGTTGAACTGAAACATTACTATAATCTACTTTCTAGGGGGAGTCTCTAGAAGTTTTAAATAAATGTTTTCGGGAAGTGAACAAATTTTTTTTGGAAACGAGTACATTTTCTGAACATGTATTTCCTGAGATTTTACTTGCGTAATTTCTCATCGAACATAACTCAAATATCTGTTTCAGCTATTCTTCAAATTGTTATTATCACGTCTCTTAAAATAATATCTTTTTCGGTGATAATACGCTCGTTTGTATTCAACTGATTTTTTTTACCTTGATTGATATACACTTCATTTTTTTTAATCAGAATCTGTAAACTCGTACTTATAGATCTTCATTCATTTCTCTCGCATACCGAGTAATCTGATCGTTGTCGCATCATTCCTTCATTGATTGTACTTAAAAGCCAAATATCTTGATCTGTTTTATATCTGATCATTGTGCTTTATTTGCAATAACATTTTGATCAATCATTGTGATCAACTGAGCATACTGTAAATTTTTAAGAGGGACTAAGTGCTTAACAGAAATACCTCTATGGAATGTCAAAACCGACAAACCTACCCATAAGAACAACCATATCTGAGTGAGCTTTATATACAAAAAGGTTTGTGTGCTGAGA